GAGGTTGCGATTAGAGAAAGAAGCTGAAGCTTTGGCTGGACAGGTATTTTACTGTGACTCATGCTAAGGAGTGTCTTATGAACGGCGGAATCCCTGGAGTATCTTAATATTTGATATGATTGTAGGACGATGGTGGTGGAGAACAACTTGAACGCATTTACGAACGTTTGGAAGCAATTGATGCATCAACTGCTGAGAAGCGAGCTGCAGAGATCTTATATGGCCTTGGTTTCACCAAAAAAATGCAAGAAAAGAAAACAAAAGATTTTTCTGGTGGCTGGAGGATGAGGATAGCTCTAGCAAGAGCTCTATTCATGAATCCCACCATTTTGTTGCTCGATGAGCCTACAAATCATCTTGGTAAGCTTGCATATATTTGAAGGTTGATATTTACTGTGGACGAAGACTTGGTTAAAAAATTTGAAATAATTGGATTACTGGTGACTGATGAATGCCTACTGTTGCTGGATGACCCTCCGGATCATCCTTGGAAAGTTTAATGCAGTAATGGTTGGCATGGTAATATTGATCTAGGATGGTTAAAGTGAGTGATAAGAGTGAGTTGAGAGCGAGAGTGATGATGTGTGAAAAAAATGTACTCAATTGCTACAGAATCATAAGAAATATATTTTTTAGATTGATTTTTTAAGTGTAGATAACTGATATATTCCCAATGCTACAAAAGCAAATGGGTGTTGTGGCATAGTGGCTTTTGTCAAGCATAATTTCTATGGATGTCAGTTGAAGGTTGATATTTACTGTGGACGAAGACTTGGTTAAAAAATTTGAAATAATTGGATTACTGGTGACTGATGAATGCCTACTGTTGCTGGATGACCCTCCGGATCATCCTTGGAAAGTTTAATGCAGTAATGGTTGGCATGGTAATATTGATCTAGGATGGTTAAAGTGAGTGATAAGAGTGAGTTGAGAGCGAGAGTGATGATGTGTGAAAAAAATGTACTCAATTGCTACAGAATCATAAGAAATATATTTTTTAGATTGATTTTTTAAGTGTAAATAACTGATATATTCCCAATGCTACAAAAGCAAATGGGTGTTGTGGCATAGTGGCTTTTGTCAAGCATAATTTCTATGGATGTCAGGGCTTGTATTCAATACCTTGAACACCTTCTCTTTTTAATGAAAAATAATAATATTCTTACATCATCTGGCCACATGCAAGATTGTCTTGGTTCTTGCATGCAGCTGGCTACCAGCTATAAGGAGAGTGAAGTTGTTTATAGGTACCTGAGATATAGACAACATAATTTTTTATGGTTAAAAACCAGTAGATCACGGTTTCCTTATTTGAATCAAAACCTTCATTTTGAATTCTTATTGTAGAAAGTTCTTAAGGTCTCAAATATTTCATTGTTGTCAAATGAGCTCTCTCCGTTGGCTACTTTGAACTGTAGATCGTGAGTCTCATAAAACGTCTTTGATTGCTGAGCAATCTTTCTTACATAAAGTAAGTCGCTACTCTGGGACGACGAGTATGTAGTTAATTCACTGTCAAGTGAAGAAATTGGCCACTATACCTCACTGCAATTGTATTGAATGGTTGAAGTCAGAAATAAGACGGATTCTACTTTGCGTGCTGAATTGTCATATTCATCGTATAACTTGTGACAATGAGTTCCTTGAAACTGCAGACTTGGAGGCCTGTGTTTGGTTAGAGGAGACGTTGAAAAAATTTGATCGCATTCTGGTTGTGGTTTCACATTCACAGGATTTTCTGAATGGAGTCTGCACCAACATCATCCATATGCAAAATAAGAAATTGAAACTCTATACTGGTAATTATGACCAATATATTCAGACCCGTGCGGAACTCGAAGAGAACCAGATGAAACAGTACAGGTGGGAGCAGGAACAGATAGCTTCAATGAAGGAATATATTGCACGGTTTGGACATGGGTCTGCCAAACTAGCTCGCCAGGCCCAGAGCAAGGAGAAAACTTTGGCAAAGATGGAGCGTGGTGGGCTCACAGAGAGGGTGGTCAAGGACAAGGTTCTGGTTTTCCGGTTTCCAGATGTGGGGAAACTTCCACCTCCTGTTCTACAGTTCGTGGAAGTATCGTTTGGCTATACTCCTGATAATCTCATCTACAAGAACCTTGATTTTGGTGTAGACCTTGATTCAAGAGTAGCACTTGTTGGACCTAATGGAGCTGGAAAGAGTACACTGCTGAAGCTGATGACGGGGGATTTAGTTCCTCTTGATGGCATGGTCCGGCGGCACAACCATTTGAGGATTGCGCAGTTCCATCAACACTTGGCCGAGAAACTTGACTTGGAATTGTCAGCTCTAGAGTTCATGATGAGAGAGTACCCTGGAAATGGGGAAGAGAAGATGAGGGCAGCAGTGGGGAAGTTTGGGCTTAGTGGTAAAGCTCAAGTGATGCCCATGAAGAACTTGTCAGATGGACAAAGGAGCCGTGTGATCTTTGCATGGTTAGCTTGGAGGCAGCCACACATACTTCTATTGGATGAACCTACTAACCATTTGGATATTGAGACAATTGACTCACTGGCTGAGGCATTGAAAGAATGGGATGGTGGCCTTGTTCTAGTGAGCCACGACTTCAGGCTCATAAACCAGGTGGCCCATGAGATTTGGGTATGTGAGAATCAGACCGTCACTCGGTGGGAGGGGGATATCATGGACTTCAAGAAGCATTTGAGGGCAAAGTCCGGTTTGTTTGATTGAACTTCCAACTTGATGAGCTGATTTACATCAGTAATGAAGTTAGTTTCGTGGCTATGGCTTTGAAGCAGCACGTCAAGAGATGGATATGACGTTTTAAAAGTCAAATAAGAATGGGACAGAGGTAAGGTAGAGGAAGTTGGCACTAATTGCTCATTGTTTTGTAACTTGGAGCCTGATCCTTGAGGCCCTGCCCTCCATTAGAAGCTATGTCGAGCTTTTTATTTATCTATTATATTTTGATATATTCTTATCTAGCATATCCCAGCTTATTACCAAGGGCAGAGATCAGTAGGCATACTGTAAATCTTTGTATCCAGTTTGAGCCTCACCAACTTATGTTTTACATAAATACTATATGAATTTAATGTACTTTGATTTATAATGTTGTTGCTAACTTTTCATCCTTGTACTCATTGTCTTGAGTTGGATAATTTCTGCTGGCTTATATTATTAAATGCTAATACTTAAATAAGTGCCGAGTAGTTACGTAAGGTGTGTGTAATGTGGAGTTGTACCCATGGAGCCAAAACGAAAAGACTAATGAAATTTCTAGAACTGACTTTTAAAGGGTTCAAGTTCTATTTGATGCCATGGCCGGTAAACTCGGGCCTACAACTTTTATGATTGGGAGCATTCTGGAAGTGACGTGGGTGATACGCCACTTCTGGTCCACACTACTCATAAATTTGTCTAGAAGTAATCTAAGTCATTGATTAGTGAATCAAATGAAATGTTTCGAGCTTAATTATTCACCGATTGGAAGCGGGACAATGCATTAATCATTGTTAAAATGTAAAATCAGTTAGAGCTCTTCTTCGTCTTTTCGGCCCCCCGCTCGTATTGATGTTGATTGTGCTCTCCAAGGTGAAATTATGCAGATTTAGTATATTTTCTCATTTTCAAGGTGGGGGCCTTATTTTTCGCATCTCCCTATTTGTTACAATAATACAACTTTTTATTTTTTTTTCTCTATATACAGTGTTTAAGAAGACTGAAAATTTGCAGTCGTGTCTATCCATCAAGCTAAGTGAATAGAATTCAAGAAGCTAGTTTTGTCTTATGAAAAAGGATATTATGGCTATGCTCCTGTTCGGTTTGGATAAAAATGAGATTTTTGTGCAGATTTCAATAAAAGTAAGCGAAATGTTTGATTGAGAAGTTGATAAATTGAAATTGAGAATCTTGTGAAATATGTGGTTAAAAATGAGTGAAAAAATGAATTCTAAAAAACAGGGGGAGTAACTCCCACACACTTATTTTAAAAATAGCCTCTGCATCATTATAATCGTTGAATTGTCATCTGTCAACATAGGTAAAGCTACCCAACTTCAACTTGTTGGGAGGCCAACCAGCAGGAATAAGTACCCATTAAAGGGATAAGAAAGTACGTCACATGGCTAATATGCGATATAATTGATGGCTAAAATAATTGTGTTAATTTAGGGAAAAAAAAAAAAAAAGTTGAACCCCAACTTCGAAGGACCCATTGTCCCACTCCTAGAGCTTTGTAAAAGAGGTGAATCGCCAGGTGTGCCCTAACAGGTTAGGGAACAAGAGCTGTCTGTACACTGTGCCTACAAGGAATCCAATTTCATGTATCAGAAATCGAATCCTCATACTGCGACTGTCAGCAAGGCATGAGATAATCTCACCTTTGCACCACTGAGTTATGCCCCGGGGGCTAATTGTGTTAATTTTATATTACACGGTGGCTAGTCAAAGTATTTTAAACATATTGAATTATAAAACTTTAATGAGTTTTTAAGTATAGTAATCGATGCTAATATTTAATATTTGATTTCCATAAGACACCGTATATTTGGTAGACTTTATTCATCAATCGCTCTTTGTGACTATTATTAATTTATTAGCCCTCGAATACTACTTTACGTCGCGCTGCAAGTGGCATATATTTTCAAACAAAGAATTGGTAAAACATATGGAAGAATTTTTTTTGTCTCCAAAAGAATTAAGAAAAAAGATGTAGCAAATGCTATTCATTTTAGCAGAAGAGGACAGAGATCTTCCTTTCTTCACTGCTTTAGTAATTACAACATCAACAGCTTATATTAGTGATGTATCATTCAACTATAGAACTATACAAGAAGAGTAGATGGAATGCAAAACCAACAAAACCAGAACGCCACAATCAGTCAAGATTCTCCATTTAACGAAAATCTTCCTCATTCACGATCATGAATTCGGGATTTATTCTTTCCCAGTATTACTAGGATGCTATTATGAAATTGAAACTGAAAAAAAAAAAAAAAAAAAACAAAATGGGTTACATAACCTAGTAGTACTCAACATTTCATCTTAGTATGGACTATGGTATATGTTAGGTCAGTGATATTTGCAAGGCATGTTGGAGCGAAGAGAGAGTGAGAATATGTATGCAGCAAAAGCTTTGTGCGATTGGCATTTTACAGACAAAGAAGGCTGTAGAAAACGAGGGGTATAAATGCATTGTCCAGTTGTGCTGTGTAGGCCTCCAAAAGACCACTAGTAGTCACTGCCAATATAAGAGAGAACCAGTGCTGCAAAAATAAAGGACAAAGTGAGAAAAATGCATGGATTAAGAATTTTATCCATTTATCTATGTCTACAAACATGCACAGAAGCACACCCAGAGAAAGAGTGAGATAAAGACCATAGTGAATATGTAACCAGTTGCGGCTAGAAGTGGAAGTAGAGCAGAGCATGCAGCCAGAACAGAAGTTATACCAGCAGCAGTTCCTTCAATTGTCTTCTCTAGAAAAGGTTGAGAAAGATAACATGTAAGGAGACGTAAACAATAAGTTGAAGCAAAATGGAAAGCAAGGAATAACAAATTAGAGAACAAAAATCATACTGCCAGTTTTGCTCAAGCGGATGACTCCATACTTGTGGCCAACCATCGATGCCTGCAATAAATGCAAAATGAATTTAGCCACTGTTTGGTTTGGATAAAATCAGATTTTTAATAAATTTTGATAATAGTTAGTGGAATGTGTGGTGGAAAAATAGTAGGTCACATGAAATATGTGATTAAAATTAATTGTTGACTTTGACTTTGACTTAAATTTTAATCAAAATTTCTAGCTGAACCAAACAGGGACTTAGTTACAATGGGATTCCTCTGATGAGCTAGCAACCAAGCATGCACTTGGGAATAGTGAACCTCTTGTGCATGGTTTTCATTGGTTCTTCTCCAGCTGATCGCAGGAAATACAAACTCAACTACACAGCCTTTCAGAAAACAATCGCTGAAATCATCATTACACCTCTCAGTGAAAACCTTTCCACACTTTTATACCAACTGCTTCAAGCACCTTAGAATTTTGGGGCATTCAAAGAGGAAAAAAGGGAAAGTTACTAGGGCATGCTATACACCTTATCAAGGGGAAGTAAAAGCAAATAATGAGGATTCTCAAATGGGAAGATCAAAACTAAGGCACACAGTAACCGACTTACATCAGCAATCACTTACACAGTATCCCCTCAACCTCCAAAAAGAAAAAGTAAAAAAGAAAAAGAAATAAACACATGCTCACACAAATACATATATATGATAAATCAAGTACTTTAAAATACTTTATACAAATAAATATAAATGTGCATGTGATTTGCACACGTGTGTGTCACTGATGTCCAGATCTAAACTGTATTTCCATCACATTAACCCATTTGTAGATATTAAGCAGCAGGAAATCCCAAATCTAGCCACTGTGATGTCATTGAATCTGTAAAATGTCACATTATCATGAAATTCCAGTGCAACCGCTAAGCTCAGGATAATCTAATTTTTTTTCACGGCTGCAGAAACTGAAGCTTCCATTTCCTTCGTAAAGTTACATAATTTCCCTTTCATTTTTTATTTATTTATTTTTTTGTTAACATAAATTGTTAAGATATTCCATATACCAGAGACCACAAATAAACACAAGCTAGAATTACATCCATTAAAGTATAGTTAACTCAGTACCCTTCCATATATCAAAGAAGACAAATTCAACACAATCTAGAAGTACAGATTAAAAAGGGATAAAGAAAAACATAATGGCATAAGTGGCCAGTAGCCACAAAGGAGTGCAAGTGATTTACCATTGTATCACCAATACCAAGGCTCAGAATTCCAGCAAAGGGGGCAAGTGGACGATCAGTACCACCAGAAGACAGCCAGATGGGAAGTGCGCATCCCAGTAAAAGTGAAAAATGGCTGCATAATAAAAAGATTGGGGAAGCAATCAGTCAATATCTACCAAGAATCAAGTGGTACAACACAACGTACAGGAAGGGAAACAAATTGCACACCTGACAATAAGCAAATCAGAATCACGATGGTCAGTAAAAGCATTCATGAATTGCTGAACAAGATGTCCTAAAGGCCAAATTCTCCATACCTGCTCCAGAGAATCAAAGCTAGTCAAGTTTTGGCAGAAAATAAAATCCATCTAACAATATGTTGTTCCAGCATGGAAGTAAGAGAAGGCAGATTTTGGAAAGATCAATGGTACAAAGTTTTTTTCATAGGGAGAGGGAAGGTTTAATGCGCTTGAATGTGCACTCGTGTGTTTTTCTTTTGGTCTGGGGGAGTTGTTAAAGATAGATTGATTGTGTATTGTGTGACAAATATTTCCTTAATCACAGCCACAGGTAGAACCAAAATTTCTTTATAATAAAAGTTTAGACCATTGCAAGTAACTCAAGTGACATGAAAAACACGACCTTATATTTTCGTAGTGTAAATTCATGCACTCATCCCATTATAAGGTCCATAGGAACCTGTTTTTACAGGCTAAACTTTGTAAAACATCTCTAATAAGTATATTCATACTTCAAATTTTAATGAGCGTGTAATTAAATATACATCCACTTCTACATATTTTTCTTCTTGTTTCTGTTTATGTTCAATGCTAAAGAGGCGGTTGAGAAAGCTGAATCTAAAATACAAAAGACTCAATGCTGAATTATTAAGTGTTGATCATGGTGAGTACCAAATCTCGAAATGACAGAGTAGACTATTTCATTCAAAAATTTGTTTCACAATTTTAAGAATGTCAAGGGCCTATGTGACTAAGCTTTTGATAAAAGTTTTTAGTAGATTTTTATAAAAGTTGACGAAATGTGTTGTTAGGTCTTATGGAATGTGTGGTTAAAAATATAAGTTTGACTACTTGAAAAGTGTTATTTAATTTTAGCAAAAATTTTATCAAAGAAGCACTAATTGAGTAACATTCAAATACATTATTTCCATGGTTTGAAAGATCTCAATTTCGGGAACCACACTTCATTCTTAAATAACATTCCATTCCTCCAAAGATCCACTGCTTAAAGTATGTACATTAGATATTCTTGGCTACTAGTTTAAGAATAAGAATAAAAATTTGCACTAAGATCTCACTTTTTCCAAGCCCCGCCCAAAACTTCACGCTAATTCAAATGAAGACATATTATGAATAAAGTGTATCATACTATACAAAATATATCTATGCTTATATGTGTTTACGACTGTGCACACAATGGAGGAGAAACTGGAATCAAACACTCGACTCTTCTTTTTATGTTCATTTCTTTGGACCTTGAAAGATTTTTTTGATATATGGTACATTTAAAAACTTTTATACCTGATTGTGTTTTCAGTTCAGATATAAGATAAGGCAGAATCACTTTAATTCCAACTGATTGTGCAACACACCCGTAGTAGGTGGTGAAATGAGATTAATCGCCCTAATTGAAATAAGTACTTAATATTTCAATAGTAACGCCCTAATTGAAATAAGTACTTAATATTTCAATAGTAACGGTGTGTTTGATTGCTAGCATAAAATTTGCTTGGAAAGAAAATTGCCCAGAACTTATTTACATGAAAATTATTAATTAAATGCGTTTGATTGATTTAATTTTTAACCTAAAAAATATTATACTTGTCTATCTTTTTTTGATGGTAAATGTGAGAGGGGAGTAGATGAAAGAGAGAGAGAGTTGCCTGGAAAATAAAAACCTAAAACAAGGAAAATATATTCATGTGACCAACTTTTGAAAAATATTTTCCATGGAAAAAAAATGTCAATCAAACACACCAAAAATAGGAACTTGGATGAAAAAATGACATTTTCCATAGAAAATAAAGCTAATCAAACACTCCCTAAGTGTTGAAAATGGGGAGCTAGAAAATAACAATATCAGTCAAAAGGTTAAAGTAAAACAAATATTCTACATTTCTTAAAGCGCGAAGTCTCTAACTCCTTCCATTCACTTGTTTTATCAAACTTCCCTTGCACCATAACTAAACAAAACAAAATTTCTATCAAGAATCCAAACTTTCACACTGAAACCAAGGACAATAATGCAATAATTTGATTTCACAAATATATCTTGTCTTAAAAATTACTTCCGTATAAGAAGATTAAAATGCAAGATACTCTAGTTCTTAATGTGTAGATATTTCAATAGAAATTCAGATCTTCTACAGAGATTGCAACAATCACAAGTCGAAATGCAGGAAGTTAAAAAACATATTCACATAACTTTTAACACAGCATCTTAACAACCTAGATTTGTTTCTTTAAAAACTTACTCGTATAATTTCCAACACGAGAAAGACTGCCAAAGCTGCACCAAATGCCAGATCAAGAAATTTTGGCTGGAAATAAATAAATAAATTCTACCATAAAAAAAGTATTTTAAGAAAGTAAAATTTTTGCACATTGACCTCAAAGTCCTATCAACCTCAAATTACCTGGAAAATGAGAGCAGGAACAAAAATTGAAACAGCCATCAGGTGGTAGTATTTGCGAAGAAGAATTCGCTCAATAGTACTATTCTTCGAAATGTTGTAGAACCATATAACTGACACATATATAACAGCTACCCAATAGACACATAGGGGGAGTCTCTTGAGCGGTTCCGAGACAACAAAATTACAAACCCTGAAAAAATATGATAGTAAAATGGAAAACAGATACATTAACAAAAAAGACAAAAGCACGGAAATCAAATAAGGATCCTTTGCCGAAAGAAAAAATATTTACCAGTGAAGATATAGATAAATATCATATAACAAGAATAATGGCATCATACTGGATAATCACTGAGTTGTGTTAGGGGATAAAATCCAACATCGAATAAAGATTAAAAACATAGATCAATTTATAAAGATTTGGGCTATTTCTCTTAATAAGGTTGACGTTTTAAGATGAAACCCCAAATCTTAGCATGATATCAAAGCTTATTAAATTCCAATGAGTAATTCAATTCAATTAATACTCAAAAAATGAGCATGCGAATTTTAAGATTGGTTTAATCAAACAAGCTACCATCTTGTGGGAGCGTATTAAAGAATAAAATTTCACACCGAATAAAGATCAAAACATAGACCAATTTATAGGGGTTTGAATTACTCTTCTTAATAAGGTTGACTTTTTAAAATGAGACCCCAAGTCTTACAAGTTGGAAGCTCAAGATTTAACTTGTGTTCTATCAAATTTTTGTATTATTAAGGTAGAATGCTCTTAGACAGCTTTCAAAGTCCATTCCAAAGTTAAGAGAACTTTTTGAATAATATTGCTTGTTTCTATTTCAGGAAGACCTTATTGCCATAAGGCAAATGAGTGGCTGATGCAGATCCATGCACAATAATGGTCCATTGAATGGAAGTAAAATGAGTCCCCTTAAATACTTGGGAATTGTGTATCCAACGATTCACATAACGTCATCATAATATATCATGGAGTACGATTTTAATCAAATATTTAAATAAAAAATATGAAGTATAGTGCCACCAGTAGAAACAGTAGCAGTACAAGGCTTTGCTAAACTATTCGCTTGAGTTTCTTTTCTTGTCCACATTCCTCTCAGCAAACCGTTCCCTAGGTTAGCAATATTATATATCTAATGGGACATTAACTTCGTAGACTTTGCTTCTACACTCATTTTTAACGAAATTGCATTAGATTTCTTACTAAGCCTTATTGGAAATGAGGATGATCAAAACCCACACCAACCCAATACAGGTATGGAATCATTCTATAATAAAGTCATTTTTATATATATCATCAAAACAATACAAGGATGGTTTCCTTCCCCTTGTTTAGTAAAAGAAAAGACATAAGGACCATTATTAATCTCATGTCATTGTATATTTCTTAAATTGTAAGGCTTCATAGAATTTGCATCTATAGATGGTTATTAGGTTGCTTTGACATGATCCATACAGACATTCATAACCATCCGTGTTCTCATATATTTCTTAAATTGCAAGGTTTCATATAATTTGCATCTAAAAGTAATTAGTATATGCATCATAACATATCTACTAGATAAGATACACTATTCATAAGAAAAATAATGAATATTTAGATTCATTTCCCTTCATTTTTCTTGGTTCCAATATACCATTTGGACCCTAACAAAGATGAAAACAATAAGAAAGCACAACACTAATATGTGTTTTCTGCAATTTTAACATGCCATCAAAACAAAAAATTGAAAATGAAATTGAAACTCAAAATTAAAAAGTGAAATGCAAACCAATGTCCCCTAAGTTATCATCCCAAATATGAAATAAAAATGGCAACACTGTATTATGTTCATCATGTTAAAAAATTGATAAAGCAGAAAACAGCCAGAGTAGTAACCAGAAACAGATTGAAACAAAATTGAGGAGTATACCATAACAAAGGGTGCATGTGAAAATCATGGACAAATAGCATCCATGATGGAACAGCCACGGCCAACATAAACGAGAGTAAAGCATAGAAAACAAAGGATTCTCTGATCTCATGGTTTGACATGTCTCGAGAGCTAGAAGAGCAGGCAAAGCATTGCCAAATTTTGACAACATTTTTGTAGAATACAGGAAAAAGAAGTAGACCAAGACTCATGCCCTGCAAGAAATAGGAACGCATTTACCAATTAGTATATTAATAAACTATACTTCTCCATTCAAAGAGGGAAGAATTATGGAATAGTTACTTGTTGAAACACAGAATAGTTACTTGTTGAAACACACAGACCATTACCTGAATAATTATACGGATCTCATCTCTCTTGATACCAAAATCCCCAAGAACTAGCTTGGATGATGCTGAATATTCAAGGATCTGTTTAGTAAAAGATAATTGTAAGCAAAAAAATTTAACTATTCTAAATATAATGAGGAACATAAAACTAACCTTTGACGCTGTGTAGAATAACATGTCCCCAAAATAGATCACAATACCAGCAGTCACTAGAAGCCCTTCCCCTGACAAGAGAAATAATAACATAATTTCTGAGGAGCGAACAAAAACAATTTGGTAAAACCAATTCAAATGACAATAGTGTGC